GCCCATATTATCAATGAAAATAAACTCTCATAGAGGCAGTCACCCCTAAAATAGCTAGGTTTCTGCTTGGATCCCCAGGCATGCTGTGTGGCCCTCTGATAGCACTAAGTAGAGAAACATATACACCCTTTCTCGTATGAACTCCCAGTATGGAATACAAGCTGCTGCCCACATGTCGGTATATCCTTTTAAACCACTGTTTATGCAGCACAGTGATGTTCGTCGAGAGGCAGAATGATGGGAATTTCACAGGGATAAAACACAGTCAATAATTTCCCCCCTCCGTTTATTCAACAGCTTAGTTTGGCACAGTGCATCCTTCTCAAGAAACACTGCTTTCAACCACTTTCTACTGTCTCCACCAGGAGGGAAATGAGAAGATCTATTACTTTCACTCCCAAGAGGAGAAACTAAATTTGGCTTGCTAAACTTCTATCAGTGCCAAATTTTCGTCGCCCCTTGAAATACTGGAGTAGAAGTACAAAGGATATTCTCAAATGTTCTGTGAGATGTGTGCTTCATCTACTTTTTACAGCCTTTTCTTTATCTTAGATTAACCCATTATTTTTCATATTTCCAGCAATAGACTGATCCTCATTGCCCTTCAGCCCACCAAAATCCCACCAACTAAATTAACTGGCACTATAATGGATGACCTATAACACACCAATCTGTTCATTAGTCCCTTTGCTACCTCTGAGTAAAGCTTTGTTTCAAACTCAATACTCTTTTGGTTCTGACTGAAATGTGTATAATACCGAAATTTGGTTTTAAATTCTAAATTGCTCTGGTTTGTACTTCAGAACATAAGAAGTGTGACTTCCTGTCTAATAAAAAAGGGTTTTGTGGGGGAAAAAATTTTAATTTCTTAAAGTAAGATATTAATTTAACAGGTATGGAAAGTGGTATTGAGAGTGAAACTCAGGCGTGGAAACTGTACTAGTATTGAAAAAATTCTAACAAAAACTACCAATGTGAGTTTCAGAATCCATCTGATGATTTTAATAAATTATTTTAACAGGAATTACATTATTTGCTTTATTGCCAAGAGTTAGATGAGAAGTTTGATACCACTCTCATATCTGTCTATAAATATAAAGCCGCAGCCAGGAGGCAGTTAGCTTAGCTTAGCATAAAAAAGTCAGAGAAGGGAAAAAAAGCTAGCTACAAAGGTAAAACATTTTGCCAGCACATTTAAAGCTCACAAAGGACAAAGCACTTTATAGTTAATTTATTCAATCCATACAAAAAACGAAGTTGAAGAACAAGTTGCGGTCTCTTCAGGACTCATTGCTCCTGCTAAGCTCACAGTCTCTTGGCTCCAGCTCCATAGTACGTGTGGTACTGATCTTCTCAATTTCCTCTCAACAAACATAAGGATGGCTCTTCTATACATCAACAATGTAACGCAGATTTTTACTAACTGAGTTTGATTTAAAAAAATTGCATTAGCATTTTGCTAGCCTACCAGTGTATTTCATGTGGTATTTTGATTGGCGGGTTTGTAAACATGGGTCGTAGCAGCAATACCATTGTGGATTTTTGGCTTTTGGTACTAAATGTCTGACCTTCAGTCAGAATTGTGATGTAGCCTGTCTTTGGTTGACAAAGCTGTCTCCCAGTACAATCTAAGACCACTATTTTTGATTGATTTCTCTGATGATTGACAACTTTTGTCTGGGACAGCCCAAAATCGCACAGCATTAATCGATTATTTTTCTGCTGCAAGTTCTTTGGTTTTCAGACATTTTGCAAAGCACCATGTTCTGTTAAGAAAGGTGCTACACAACAAAAATTAATATTGTGTTAAGTAGCTTTTCCTGTTGCGTTTTCTCTCTGAGATCAGAGCCAAGCTTGTCCGAGACTCCTTGCCTTTCCAGGCAGGCCAAGGAAGTAAACCTTGGACAAACACACGCCACCTTTGACTGGTCAGGAATGTTATCAGGGTCCATATACCCTGGGTTGAGGAAGGAAAGATCTCAGACTTAAAATGCTTCCCCAGCAGCTGTTTGCTGCATCACTCTCTTTGTCCACCCCCCCACACTGGACTGAGAACGCAGGCACAGGAGTGCTATCTGGAATGGTCTCTCGGTCCGTCTCTTTCATCAAGGCTGGCTGGAGCAACATCAGGGTGAGCTTTCGCTTAGACAAGCAGGAAAAAACGCCGGTGTGATTGAGATAGATAGACTGGCCGGGACACTTAATCTTCTGTCCAATGAAAAATGTTAACTGCATCCCCATGTCCCCCCCATGCAGTGTAATTAGGCTGAATTACCACTGTGTGTTTAAGTGTCCCTTCTGAAATGCTTACTGCAGTTCCTTTCTCGTGCTGATCTTTCACTTATTTTTACAATGACATACATCCGGGGAATTTATTTTAATTTTGCTGGTCACACATTTTAAAATATAATCCACAAATTATTACATAATATAACCATGCCAATAACTTTTATTTGAAATGACAAATGTCAAATAAAGCATGATAGTATTAGTGGCGATGGCAAACATTTTCACATGCTCCCCTTTTTGCATCTGAGGAGAAAGTTACTTTAGTCGTCTCATTAGTCAAACCTTCAGTCTACCAACACTGCCGCTATGTTTTTATAGTATCACTTGTACTATCACAGACGGATGAGGTCCACTGAGCAAAGATAAAGCCAGTGTTATTTCACCCCTGGCCTTTCTTGACACATGGATTGCTTTTGGGAGCCCTACAGAAACACACACAGGTCTTCAGACCCAAATAAGAATGGTTGTAGAAACTCATCAATAAAAGGTGCAGGGTTATATTATGTTAATTAATTGAGTGCATATTGGTGTTCAGCCATCTAAACTGTGAAGTTTTTTGTTTTTTTATTATCTTGCTATTTTTTCTTCATAAGATAAATAAAAAATAAAATCTTAAGGTGAATCTACACATGCAGCTTTGTAAAATTTGCAGTACACCATGTTTTTAACCTTGACATACACGATATACAGTAAATTCCTCTTAAATTGAGATAAAATCACTGATAGACAGTCCAACGATAAGATGATATTTCACAGATTCTAACCCGTAAGCTCAAAATCCCTCTCATATAATATTTCTTTTGGATTCTGACATATTTATATCTGCCCTGTGGTTTAGAAAGAGAAGGAGGGGGAGTAGCCTCCAACACTATACCTCCCTAATTACAGACTCAATCAACATCTCGCTGTAACATACTGTGACCAACGCCTGGAAAATTGATGAGGAATGACTATTTCCTCCAACCTGAGGAGTGAAAAGTATACTTTCTGACTGTAAATGAAAAGCAGGCACACAGCAGAGTAGCCCAGACGGTTTTGGGAGGACACGCTGATTGCTAATGAATAGACTCTGGGTTCAACTGCAATCCATCAAATCCATCAGGTGTTGTACTTGCATGCCTTTGCTTTGTGCTACACCAGACTGTTTTCTGGACAAAAATTAAAACATTAGCTTTAAGCAATTAATCACAGATTGGACCTGCTAATCTTATTTCAGAATAACAATATTGTGGAAAGTCGATGAGCAGGAGGCCCGCTTATGCTTAATTTGGAAGTTTGTTTTTTATGACTCAGATATTCAATTCTGAGAGATAGTTTCGGTCTCTTTGGAGACACAAAGTCTCAAAGCTTAGAAAAGCAGAGTGCCTGCCAAGCCATATCAGTGATGGCCTCAGAATTTGCAGCTCATTAACATTACAGTAGAACCTTGTTTAAATTGTGTAAACACCTCAGTGGTTCTATAAATAAATGGTAATTTAGTTGTTCAAGACTACTTAAACAGGAGTTATTTAATATCATATCAGCTCAATACAAATGAGGATTGTGTTTATTTTATTCTATAGAAAGATCAAAAAGTTCATAGATGTTTTTTGTTTTACACAAGTCTGGATTTGAAGTTATACTCACACATCCTTGACTTGCATAAATAAAGGGAGCCTTCTCTTTCCCTGTCTCTTCCTCCTTTGAGTGTCTCTGGGGCTCTCTCTGACTTCCTGCCATTAAAGAGACAGCCCACTGGAGAACAATGGGTGACTGACATATAACTACCTCTGCTCTATGACCGACGCTCTGCGCAACTCAACTGGACATCTGTGGAAATTATTCAAAGGGTAGTTTACTCAGGGAAAAAAGGTTTGCTGGACGGATACAAAGCGGCGAGATTCAATGGTCCAAGATGTCTGTGGCTTTAAAATCAGACAGCTGTGTGACATCCAGAACAAAAAGTTCAACTCAGATAATATACAGTTACAAAACAGCATATTGGGGTTAATATAAATTGTGTTGCTTATTCTGGCTTCTACAATTTAAATACACATTTTTTTGTTGTCTGATAAAATCTTTGTTTGAAGAAATACAGCCATTTTGCAAATTGGCTACAATGTATTTTCAAGTTTATCCAATCATTTTAGAGGTTTTCATGAGATCAAGTATGCTGTACTAATGCTGTCAACTAATAGAGGAGATACTGCTTCCAGTAAACCCCCTTTCTTTGTGCACGTTTTTCATGTTGCCACTGACATGTGAGCGTCTCTGTGACATTTCAGTTTCAAACTGGTCACGTAGCATCATTCAGAAACTCTGAAAGCACATAAGCTCTCCTACTGACAAACACTTTTTACAAACAATGCATCAACTATGACAAAAAAGCAAACACGGCACTGTTTTAGTCTGAGAGCCTCATCCACAAACAAAAACAAGTTATCTTGTGAAGCCACAAACAGACACTCTGAAGAGACCACACACACCCACGGATACAAAAATATACTACAGCATGACCACTTCAATAGAAACAGATCCAGTCTTATGCAGGGTTGTTATGCACTCCAATACCCAACATGGATCTAATTAAAACAGGACAATTTAACTGCATACTTTTTTCAATCTGTCAAACAGCAAACCAACAGTCGATGCTCGGTGCAAAAGGACTCTTGTTCCACTCTGTTGGTCAGCTTTGTTAGCGCTGCATTTAAACTGCACACCACCCTCCTTACCTTCTGTAGCCACTGAGTGTAATTCTCCATAATGTGCTCGAGCTGCTGGATCTTCTGGCTGGGAATGTCTGGCTCAGGTGGCGGAGCGTCTCTTTGGAGAGAGTTGCTACTGTGTGTAGTTGGGCTACCAGCTTTCCCCTCCCTGCAGGAGCCCCCTCTGGCTCCCTCTTCCTCAGGTAGGATGAACGTATAGGTGCACTGGCCATGCTGGATCTTATGAAAACGTCTGTTGTTGTAATTATTACTACTACTTCCTGCACTACTGCTGCTACTGCTACTGCTGCTGCCGCTGCTGCCACCACCTGTGCTGCTGGTGCTGCTGCTATCCGTCCCTCTCCTCTGCTCTCCTCCTCCGCAGCTCACAATCACCAGAAGTGCTGCCAGAGAGAGCAAGTGGTGGCCAAAGTTGTACCACAGCATCATATCAGCCTGGGATAAAAGTTGCAGGTGAATTAAGTTCTTGGATCTTTATGCTGCTCCTTTTTGGTTTAGCTGGATCAGAATACGGTGAAGAACACCGTTAGCCTGGAACATGCATCATCCATCCTTACACTGGACCTCCAGCATTGAAATGTTTCCAAAGCTCCTCTAAGTTTTTGTCCTGGCAGGAAAAGATGCACGCATGTCTTGCAGTGTGATAGCCTTGTTATGAATCTTGACGTTCCTCCAGTAATTCAAAGCCAAACTGTGCGCTTGCATTTATCAATCTGTGCATTTAAAATAGGTGCCGGGCATGCTGGGATGGTGTCGTCAGACCTCCCCTGGTCTCTCTGCCTTCCCTTCCTCCTCTGCTCTCTGACTTAACAACTGGGAAGAGTGAGAGAGACGCTCACTCTGAGGAACAGTTCCAAGCTTCCAGCACACTCTGTGCCTGCCCCTTGCAGAGCCTTTAGAGGAATGCAAGTATGTGTGCATGGATGAGTGTGTACATGTGTGTGTGTGTGTGTGTGTGTGTGTGTGTGTGTGTGTGTGTGTGTGTGTGCCTGGCAAAAAAGGGACCCCAGCACAGAGGATGTGCTTAGACTATGAGGATCGGTTTACAGGCACTCTGACTGGAGGCTCATGTGTTTGACCTGCCTTTTTGCCTGTGTTGATACAAAATACTTAAACGTGTATTTAATTTATCTACTCCTGAGAAACTAATCTACTCCCTTCTATACTGTATAATGACAGGTGCTAAATTACAAATAGACACCAGGGAGGTATATTTCTAGGTGTTTTTATAGTCTAACTTCTTTTGTCTCTCCCCGACAACAGAAAACCATCATGACAAGTAAGATCTTTTTGTTTTTATCCTCTTTTCAATGGAGGTGGAGGTCTTCCAAGAACCTTAAAGTTTTAATCCTTAATATTTTCATTATATCGTCCCTAATATTGGTTATTATTTATGGCTGGCTTTTCTGTTATAGTTATTTCATGTATTTACATTTATCAGATACCTCTCTATGCAGTAGTGGGTTTTGTCAGTGGCGGAGTCTGCCATTCATCCACTGGATTCAAATGGTATTTAATTTGCAAGAATTAATTGCGTACACATACTGAACGGATGTTGGAAGCCCGGGAGTCTGGCAAACTCACTTCTTTGTCATTCCACATCACCAAATTTCAGCTTATCTAAAGGATTCATACAATTTTTGAGACTTTTTGGAGTTTGAGGATTATAACTTTAGTGTAATGATGAACTATTTTTCATTCTGAGGCTTCCACTGACTGACTGACATTAATAGTAATGTTCCATCATTGTTACTCAGGAAAAGCAGAACCCAACTGAATGTGAGATTAAAACGATAGCAAAAATCTCCGCCGGTGAGATTTATTTTCCGTCTTTGATCCTTCCACTATATCTCCATTACATGCGCTGTCCCTATCTTCATTCATTTTATGTACAATACCGTATGTTTCTTTCACACACACCTTCTGTTGTCAAGAAAAAAAAAAGTGACATCCAACAATGAGCAGGGAAAGAAGGAATGTTTCTTCATCCTTAGGCCAGAAGAAGAGACAGAGTGAGGAAATACAGCGCTGAAAGGCTCTGGGTCAAAGGTCAAGTCCTTGTTATGGACAGTCCATTTTAAAATCTCTGATTTGGGGAGACACAGCTGTCTGAATTTGGCTGCACTTCAACATTCCTCTTTAGTCCAAAACATCCAAATCTTTGCCTCGCTTATATTTCTATGTGATGTATCTGCATGAGCGGCATCATGCACACGCATTCCCATGTGCATGCTCCTGCATGTGTGTGTGTGTGTGTGTGTGTGTTTGATACAGGGCATGTATCGAGTGATAGCAGGGGGCTACTAAAAGTTGGACCCTCTGTGTGGGAGCAGAGGGGCAGTGTGAACGAATGCATGAAGGAGACCCAAGATAACAAACTCCTTGAATAACCCAGACTGACCAAGACATAAAGCATGTGCAAATATCTCTTGGAGTGCTTGTCTTTGGTTGACGTACTTTGCTGGTGTCCTAAAATTTGGGCGCCAGTTACTGTGTCCAAAGGAAACTAAGTGGGAGATAATCACCACCTCTGGGCAATCTTGTGTGTGCAAAATTAAACCTACACATCACTTCTATGAACAGCTACACAAAAAAACAAGCCTTGATGTAGACAAATACAAAGTAGAAATTAGAAGGTGAGGTGTTGTGTCTAGTTTTCTGGGAACAATAAACTGACTCATTTGCACCCTTCCCTGAACAGCAATTATTTAATCATAGTAAGCAATCATAATTAGCCATCTTAAACCTGTAAAGCTTTGGATTTCTTCACGTCTTAACTTTTCAGGCTTTCCAAAACCCAAAATACAAGCAACAATACAAGTAAATGTGTAAAGAGTGGATTAAATGTTGTGTTTATCTGCTCTGTGCTGCTGTGGTTAGCTTGAAAAGCTAACTCTCCTCCTCTTCTTCTGCCTGCACCACACCGTGACAGATATAATGTAAAACAAAGTTTTATTTTCTGAAATAAGGCATACTGGCATAGTAACCCAAGTTAGGTTATTTTTGGCGACCTGGGTTAAAACACAGATGAAGCAGATGAACTAAATGACAGAAACCATGGAAACAGATGAGAGGCTGGAAAACAGAACAAAGGAAGACACACTAGGGGTGACTGTGACAATATTACACACGTCAAGCACTTTTACATTTTTATTGCATTAAATTAAATTAAACCCTATTTAAAAATAGAAAAATAAATAACTCTCAAACATTCTCTCTCAAACATTCGACAACATTCAATAACTGGATTGAACTTAAGGCTTAAAGTCTTCAAACATTGGTTGTGTCATGTCATGTGTGACTTTACACGGACTTTAAAATAGTTTTCCACGGCTAACTCTAGTCTCAACGTAGCAACTAAGCCATGGTGATTTATTTTTTTTTACAAATGGTGCTAAACTAGCAACGGGCACATGGACACAGAAAAGTTTACATTACATCAACACTGAAAATACTCGCTTACCTTGAATACATGACGAAGTTGCACCGAAGAAGCACAGGCCAAGAGCACGAAGCAACGGTTATTTCAAACGACTGTTGTGAGAAAATTCCAGAACAACTGCGGGGTGGTTGCTATACATTCATGCCAATAAAGTTAATTTGAATTTGAATTTGAGAGACAGAAAGCTAACCCTCTTCGAAAAAGAACCCAGAAACCCAAACAACCCAGGAACTGGGTCAAAATATTAGCCCTATAACTCAGAAAATGGTTACTCTCTGAAAAAATAACCCATAATTTTAACCCAACACAACTAACCCAGAAAATGGGTTGAAGAAATAACCCAGGAGTTTTCAGTGTGCAGCCACTCCACGTGAAAGTCAATGCTAAAATAATTATTTTTGTTCATGAAGTCAACATGCTCTTTATTTGATTTGGGTAAGACTTTCCAAAACCAAAAACACAAGAAAAAGAGAGAAATGGATTAAAAAGCCCCCATTACGAGTCACATCCACCGTGTCCCACTGTGTGGAAGACTTGGATGCTAGCAGAGTATAAGCTAATGCTAGCATAGCTGTCTTGTTCTGTATTGGATTTGTTTAAATTCCAGCAACCCACGCCAACATGATCCAAGATAGCCTTACATTTCTCAAACTCATCAGTAAGACCTCATTCTCAAAGCCTCTTGCAGCATTTACAGTGAAACTGGGAAAATACGAACATGTATGTAAGTAAAGCAGCCAAACATGGCTATGATATACTGGAATAACAGTACTTATTATACTTAACCCACTTAACTCTAAGACTGTAACTAGCTGTCATTTGTAATGAAATTGTAAAATTACAAGATTCTTGTTTAAAAATGAGTCACCTGGAAACAAAAGTTTTCGACCAACCCACGGAGCTAATGTTAGCTAGGCTGCTATAATTCATTAAATCTGCTTAAAAAAATTAAAGACTAATTATTATAACAACTGTCAAATTGTCTCATGTACTGTCACACTCAGTACATGGGACACATAATCTGTGAAAAAAAATCAAGTTCCGCCGTTGTCGCAGCTGCCGCTGAAACCACACTCTGCCCTGGGCCAAAAAGCGTTGGAGTCCCGTCTTTGAGAAGACAATCGAGAGGGGACAGGGTCTTGGCAAGACTCTTACCGTGGAGAGAGAGTCCTATGCAGGATGATTTCGCAGGAAAACTGGCACCTTTTTGTGAATTTGGTGGGCAGGGCTTAGCAGAATGATACGAGCAGCAGAGAGAGAGACAAGGAAGGTTTTGCATTGTATGTTGTTTTACATACATGTAACAACATAAATACAATTTCGCTTTTGCCCCTATTTTGCATCATCAATCAACATTCTCATAAGCCAATCAGTCATAACTTTATGACCTCTGACAGAGGAAGTAAAAAACACTGATTATCTCATTTTCATGGCACCTGTCAGTGGGTGGGAGATATTAGGCAGCAAGTGAACATTTTGTCAGATCTGAATTCTTACTTGAATGTAAACTTATTACAAAAACATACTACTTTTCAAAGCAACAAGAGTACAATCATTTGCTTTAGGTCCCATGTTGTCCGTCCCGTCCCACATATATATCCAATGTACACCCAGTTTGGTAAAATGCAATAATCATTTTGCTGATGACAGTCAAGTACAGAGCGGCTCACGTCAGTTGTGAGAGGCCTCGAGGCAGCTGGTCTTCATGGGAATCTGGCTTGTGTTTTTCTTGTGAATGGTTTGGGAGGACATTTTGTATAAATCAACATCAATCTGAGTGACACCGCCTTCCGCATGTAATCTAAAATTGAATATATTATGTGGGAACACAGAAGATCAGTTAACATCTTTTTCCAGTCTCTCATGTATTTTTTCTAATTTCGTCGTGGCGGCTGCTTAGGCCTACAGGTTATAAAGTCAAGGACGAAATATACTCTGGGGAATAGGGACAAAAAATTTTTATTCTTTTGTCTGCTCATAGTTTCAGCTTGACTTAGTGACTAAAATCTGTTTAAACAGTGTCCTCTTACTTTCTAGTTACCATAATCTAAATTGGAGAAACTCTGAGGTGATTGAAATGTTAATATACTCAGGTAGTAATATGCAGCATTTTACCATCATGCGCTGTCATGCACTCACAGCAGGGAGTTTTACAGTAACAGCAAGTGCTTTGAACTCTTTGTTGCCCTGGGTTTCACCTGTAAGGCTACTTGCATTCCTCTAACTAGTGGAGCTTGACTCAGAGCTATTGCTTTTTCTTTAAAATAATAATTAAATCTATATTTTGATTTAACATCAATCAAATGTATTGCAAATCAGTAAAGGAGAGTGCTCTTTTCACTAATGATGCAAGTATTTTTGTAACTATGTATTAGGTAGGGTAAGTGCATAAATAATAGTTC